TAGAATTTCGACGTTGATCACCAAAAAATTTCGGAAAATACACTTCCCAATCGTTTAATGTGACAAATCGTTCGACTGAAAGTTCGTAATACTAATAAAACACGTTGTTTTCAAACCACTACTCCTTCTCCATTTTCAAGGATATTGGCACCAAATTTGCGTGCAAGATAGTATATGTAATATAGATTAGAGCTATGGAAAGATTTAATGGATGTAAAAATACCAATGGCGTGAAAAAACTCATTCAAAATACAATTTCATTGTAATATTTTTATCTATTCCCAAAAAAAATTATGTGAAATAATATATTCTATAGATATCTCCTGCAATTAAATTGCTTGAAAGGTTTCTAAAACTTTCAAAATAAAAAAACTTTGAGTTTTTTGTTACACTGTTTCCTTTTTAGAGGAAAAAATTGGGATACCATTAAAAAATCCGCATATATTGATTTACATTATTATTATACATGAAGTCGAAATTAAACCCCAAAGTCGAAATGTTTCGACTTGAGGCTAAAAATCAGTTTCGACTTCATGTATAATTATTATTATGACATTCATTAATTAGATTTGTTAATCAGCTTATATCGAGTACCCCAAAGAGTTTATGATGATGATTTTTGATATTGTCTATTAAAGAATTTTTATTTGAATTTTTATCTGCTTATTTATAATTTTTTTTTTCCTTTATTCTTGAAGAAGAAATGTTAATTTTCTTGTAAATGTGCGTGATCGCAATTCTATTTTTTAATGAACTCTGAAAATCTTGGTAATATCAATGTTCATTTTGTTGCAAAGCATGTCTCATATTAATATTAAAAGATTAACTAGCAGAATTACCAAATGATTTAATTTTATGTTAAAAGTATTTAGGGAAAATATTTTTCAATAAAATAAAATGAATGATAGGGCCATCTTTGGATTTTTTAGCCCAATTATTTGATAAAATAAAAAGACCTTGCCTTTAAAATATAATGTATATACTAATACTACCTTTCATGGAAATTTGGTATCCATATCATAAAAGTCCGAGTATTTCTTAAATCATTCATAAGCTTGTAAATATATTTTAATGATGAACATCTTGATTAGAATTAGTGAGATTATTTAGTAAGAGTGTGATATTTTCCAAAGATGAAAACTTTTATTAAGATAAAATTTTTTGTTGTATTAGTATGCAAATCATAATAATGATTGATAATGATAATAATAATAATAACAATAATACCTAATTTATTACTTCACATACGTAATTTTTTAATATATAATGGTTGTTATTATTATTATCTAATAATATAAATTTACAAAAATAAAATATACAAAATAATATAGATAATATATAGTATATTAAAATAAAATTTCCCAATTAAAAAAAATTTTTAAATTATTAAGTTGATTTTTTTTTTGATTTTTACAAATTACATTTTTTTAATTATTAACCAAAAGTACTAAGTCTCTCGGCAATAGCACGAGGATCAAGTTCTTCTTTTTCATAAATATGAACAACTTTAATTTTTCCCATTCTTTTAATTGTTGTTTTTCAAATAAAATTTGTTTCTTAATATATTCTTGAATTGCTGCCATGAAATCTTGAGCTCTATTATTTTCATAAATTTCAAGTTCACTATGAAGTTTTTTGGTAACTCGTTTTACTCTTGCATCAAGATTTTGCTCATAATTTTTAGCCTTCGAAATAAAAAAGTTTATTTTTGTGAAAAACAGAAAAATTAAAATTAAAAAGATAATAATCTATGAATAAATAAATTTTATAAATACATACATATTCTAAATCTTTTAATGAATGTCA